AGTTGAATAACCGATTTTAATGCCGCTATTTATGATTGGTCAAAAGGGAACGAGTTACCTTGTGATTTGCTGAAGATTAGCACTGAGCATCGTGCATTACCCCGATTTGCATTGAAGGAGCAAAATATGAATCATGGACGGGTGTTAAATTCTTACATGCACATCATATCGTTTCCTGTTGGTCCTGATATAAGTATTTGGTTTGCTTGATTTGTACATGCTAATCAGACCTATACCAGAATTGTTTAAGAATGTGTAGTGAGGACTCATGCGGCTTTCGTGGCAAATGAATGTTGACGTTCCAGCTATTTCGGGTTATCTGTGTGTCTTTCCTAATCGTCAGAGTTGCGTGCCTGTTAAAGCTTGTTCAGATTTTACATGTGTGCATTTTTGTTTTGTCGGTTAATATGCTGATATTTGTAGTGCGCATCGTCATGATATCCAAGGATGACGAATATGACTATTTGTTCAAAGGTAAATCGTCAGCAGGTAAGAAGTTTATGAGCATTTAAATGCGGGTTTGTAGTGGTGCTGATTGGCGACTCTGGTGTTGGCAAGAGTAATCTGTTGTCGAGGTTCACGCGCAATGAGTTCAACTTGGAGTCAAAGTCAACGATCGGTGTCGAATTCGCTACCAGGAGCATTCAGGTAGACTGCAAGACGATCAAAGCTCAAATTTGGGATACGGCTGGGCAAGAGCGATACCGAGCGATCACATCCGCCTACTACAGAGGAGCTGTTGGCGCCCTCTTGGTGTATGACATTGCCAAAGTATCCAGTTTTTCACTGTTTTAAGTATGATCGATGTGCACAGAATGAGTAGTAACCGGATGAACTGCGAATTTTCAAATAGTACTGAGGGTGTGTCAGTAAATACCGATGCTAACTGAGTCTCTGGCTTAACTTTGGTTTTTCACTTTTATAAACGATTTCACACACTGCGCGGGTTTTAGTAATGGTTATGAATGCTTCAAAGTCTAGTCTATCTTCACTGTGCATACCTCTGAGTTAGCTGTCTTTTATCGCTTTTCTGTTCGGGAAGTAATTTTAAAAGTGGCGATGTCAGCGTTATTTTTGATTGTACAGACCGCGTTCCACATTTCTTAAGTTAATCATAAATTGATAGTTTTTATTTCACTGATCTGTCGGTTGAAGTAGCGAGTCTTCTATTGATCTTATCTATTTACTGTTACCTTTCTCAAAATTTCTATTTCCATAAACACGAAGACATGGGGAATATCGATATGTTAAGGGACACTGAATTTTTTAAGCTGCTCCACCACACTACGACTGGTAGTTCATTTTGTGCTGAAAGTTGTAGTTTCTTTTTCGCAATTTTAATCGCAAGTATTTCGCAGTATAGTCAGAATATGAACTTTCGTGTATTCGGTTCCGTAATGGCTTTAGTTGCTATTTTTCCAGATTTTTCTGTGGTGCGATTTGTATTGCTTGTTCAGATCATTGCTTGAGCTGTTTGCGTAAGCGGAAAATATCTTTTTTGTGATATCGGCTGAATTCGCTGCTTGTCAACACATTTGTTTTAAAGCACCGGTTACTGCATTATAGAAGGAAATATTCAAGCAAGAAAGCAGCTCTGTCTTTACCTTGTCCTTAATGCTGCCTCCTGTTCGATGTCTGCAGTGTTTCAGCTTCCACTTAAGAAGCTCATCAGCTGGAGTAAATGGTTTAGTTCTTCGTAGTTAGACGTTAAGTATAGCTGTACATCGCAGTCATCTGAGTGCATATAGATTAACATACTTTGCATCCTGTTCATTTAGCCCTCTGAAATATTTTGAGGAGTTCGTTCAGATATGGCCCAGGAAAGATCGAGTGTCTTAATCGTATATGCTTGTACAATATTTCATATTTCTAATTAAAACGGTACTGAAGCACTTCAAGGAAGCTCTCATTCTGTGTTTCGCTGACTGATATCGTTATCTGGTACAGTGTGATTAATATAGCTGCATCGTTTGCACTTACTGGTACAACTGTATAATCATAAATAGGAATCGTACAATTCACTGTATATGTTGTAAAATATGTTTTCAGTTTTAACTGTTCTGCATGACTCTGTTTGTAAATCATGCCCTAATGGTCTTTCACTGAAAGGTCATTGGTGTTGCCCTTATTTTACATGGTGGCATTTTATGAAAGTAACGCATTTTTCTACTTTATTGCGTTTGCTCAGGTAACTATAATGTAGTCATTCTCAAAAATTATTTTAACTTGGAGCTTAGGGATTAGGTGTAGAAGAGCTGCAGTTATCATTTTAGGCTGGCATGGTACAGCGGTATTACATGTATGGATAATTTCGATGAATATCCATGTCATGAAGCAGACATTTCAAAGAAGAAGAACAAAAAGATGAAGAAGAAGATGATGATGAAGAAGATGAAGAGGAAGATGAAGAAGATGATGAAGAAGAAGAAACGTGTTACAACAACCAGTTTTGCGGCAAAATTTTGGGACAGTTCTTTGTTCTACCTCTAAACTTTGCAATTGAGGTTATTCCAATTAGCATTTGAAAAGATTCACCAAATGCGTCAAATTAGGCCAATTGAAATAGAATAATAAATGTTTTCAAGAATACTAGTCATCTTTTACAGCTAGATAAAAGCCTCTTCAAAACTTCGTCACAGACTTTACTTTCTGCCGCTTTGGTCCATCTTGATCCGCCGAACTTCTTCGGGAGATTCTGTCATCGATCTGGAGGCCTTTCGAATGGCCGTTTACTCTCTTGGAGCACAGTCCAATATCTTTCTGGTACAGCGGTGGTCGGTTTCTCTTACAGCGGCAACAAAAAAGCATAATGTCGGCGTTTTTACTGTTGCTCCAACAAACTATGATCTTTGACGATGATGGATTTGATTTGTTCCGAAATGGGCTAGCCTTCCCGAGAAAGCTGTTTCTGTTTCTGGATCATGTGTCTCATGGTCTCTCTTTGGGGCTGTCGCCAGGAAGCTGACGGTGGGACTCCATTGCAAATGTTTACAGCAGCAGCGATAGCGTTGTGCTTCAGAACCTCTGCTGTCGGTCTCGCCACGTGACAGAGCATAGCAGTTCTGCATTGGTCGATTGTGTCGCCGTTGGAAGGTTATCCAGTTTATTCTGCGACGGTTAAGTTGCCACTTGAGGAGCCGCCTGTGGAAGGCCAGGAAGTTGTCTGCAATCGCCTTCTGCAGCGTCCAGGTCTCGCCTCCATACAGCAGAACGGGCAAAATGGGAATCTGGTTGAGCTTAATCGGCTACGAAAGGACGTTTGATGGCGAGACGCGTGACAGCGTTCATGGCTGAAGCGGCGAGACCAAGATGAGGAGTTGCCTCAGGGCTGCAACTTCCGGACGATTTCTGTAAGTTCCCGAGATGGGTTAACTGTTTGGCCGTTAACGTACATTTTGGGGGCTGCCGCGCTAGTTCCCAGGGCAGGAAATCTCCCAGTTTGTTGAGATCTTGTGGAACGCTGAGAGACTGGGAAAACTCTCGAAAAGGGGTAGAATCTCGATATCGTCTGCATAAGCCAGATTCTTGTGAAGGCAGAGGCACATTGAAGTTTCGGCGCTGCGGCATGTGCTCAATGATCCAATCGATGGCTCTGAAAAGACTCTCACTCACGATGATATGGGAAACAGTTATGGATAAGCTGAGCCTGCCTGAGTGCGGGCGCCTATCCAGTTTTGTAGGCTGCATAAAAGGTTCAGCAGCAGATATGAGATATCCATGCTCCTGAGTACTAAGAAAAGCTCTTGAGCGATCCACGGAGTCAAAAGCCGATTTCAGAGGTAATTAGGTCACGTGCAGTAGCAGGTTGTATTCCCGACAATAACCTTAACTCTGAAATCGCATCCATTGCCTAGTGACCGACTGCTGGTACAAAGAGTGTCAAGAATGATTCGTTTGCGGCCCTCAGTTATCGACAGATAATCTGTAATTTCATTAACGAGCCCTGAAGCGGAAATATAACGTTTTTGTATTCAATATAGTTTGTTGGGTGTCTGTATCTGCCCTATCTCTGGAGTATATGATAAGAGTACAGTTAGAAACTTCAATAGAGCAGTGTATACGCTATAGTACGCATTTGCACACCAGTTATCAAATAAACCTGCAACCGTAATCTAATCAGCGAATCTTTGCGCATCTAGATCACTAGCTGTCTTCCGCATCGATGCGTTGCTGTCAGATTGCCTGACGGATCCGCCCTCCCGTTGTTGCCCACGCTTTATGCTAGAAGTTGGGAGGTCATGCCCGGTTAAATGCCGTTTCTGCCCTATTTGTGCTTGCCGCCACCACATGACCTACATGAATTCCTGCAAATGGTGAAACATTGGCACTGGTCCAAGATTCCTGGTGTATGGGCCACTGGGCGAAGCTTTTAGGTAGATCACAAGTAAAGACCGCAAGCAAATGGTCCAGTTTCGAAGGGGACATCAGTTTAAGTCTTATCAGAAAAGCTCTGTCGACCAAGCGGGCGAATTCAACCTTTGAAAGGCGGCAACTCTGTTCAAGGTAGAAATGGAATTCCTAGCAGGTGATCGAACCAAACAACTTCGAAACTAAGTGTTCCTGCTGGATGCTCAGGTGTTGCACAGACCCTTTTCTAGTTTTCTTGATCTTCGAGTGATATTTTTGGACCTCTGTAAGATGAAAGCTGCAGCAGGACAAGAATTCGACTACAGTGACGACACACCGGACAGTAATCCGCCAGCGCTTCCTGCCTGTTGCTGTTTCTTGCAAATTGTCCTACCTATTGCCACGTTAAGTTTTTCACTCGGGCAGTAACATCGCACACTTGTTTGTGCTCTTATCCATTCATCCATTTTTTCTTGTCTTTCTGTTCCCAACATTTCCATTCTGCGTCGTCGAGTGCAGTTTGTGAATGACTTTAAGGCCCAGGGTCTGTTTCACGCCTGTGGGTTAGCATTGGGAGCACACACTGGTAGGTGCGTTTCAAGCACAAAGGCGGTTTACAGGATAGGAACATTTTCAGTTTTACAAAAATACGTATTACTAATTTAATTCGTTTGCTGATTTCACTTAGTCGATTGCCCCTTACAGAGATGAACTGTTCAAGAGATAGACATAGTTTCGCACTTCTTCAATCCTGAGTTCGTCAGCCGATCCTGTTTTTGTTAAGTAGGCGTAAAGACTAAAGAGTAATGTTGACCAGTCTGATGTAACCCTCACCTGCTGTATAATGGCCATAAAGAAGGTAGCATTTGTGCGGTGGCCTAAAATATTTGCTTCAGAAGCAGGAAGAGGCAACACTAAAATTTTGCATGATAGAAATATGGTGAAACATGCGTCATTACATGAGCCTGACAAATCGAATAAAATCGTATCGCTTTTTCGTGAAAGTACAGGGATAAGTGGCTGAGCTCGAATCGCTGAAGTTAGAACAGATGGCTGCGAAAGATTACGGAAAGATGTTATGTAGACAAGTAGATACCATCGCCCACGGGGGCAAACAACCGCATGATATTTCTCTTTTGTTGATGCAGTGAAGGTTGCCTAATAACAGTCTCAAGTACCATTTTTAGCGTCCACGCCATAGTTCTGAGTTACCCTGTTGTTTACGCTCTGTTAGCATCAGATTACAAAATACAAGAAAGCGTAAAAGTGATGGATGATTCAGTTCAGAAGAATTTTCCTTTGGTATGCTTCATGTCGATTAAGAACATTACTGTAAAGCGAATTTCTTGCTTCGTCACTTTCCGTCATTATGTTAGTTTGCGTATTCTTGTTCTTTCCATCTCTTGTGAAAGAGTTATTCAAAGAAAACTAAAGTGGTGAAAGATAAGTACGGCTGTTGGCGATTAGTGCAAGACTTTAGCCACTAAAGGGAATGGAAAATATCTGATTCTTTCCAGTAATTGAGAGCAAACTTGAATGCCTGCACTCAGATATGTGCTGACTTAATATTTTTAATTAGCACATGACTCGCCGTAGCGTGCATTCAAAGTATCTGAGAGAACCTACGAAGCGATTATGCTGGCTTATATATTCCTGAGGCGAAAGTAACTTTTGTAACTGACACGACGAATTCATGTCTGTTGGTTGAACTTTTTTTCACTCTCTGTTGTTCGAACTAGATACACATTTCTAGGAATCTTATAGATCACTGCTAGCATGTAACAGTAACAGTGATAACAGTTTTTCAGAAAAGCATGAAAGATACTGCGCTACCAAGGGCTCCTGTCCCTTTATCGGTCAGTTTCGATTATCTTTTATCTTTTCGCGTCGCGGAGAGAAGCGCATGAGACATTGTATTCAGTGTTCCTGATCCAGTTCAGCGTTTGAACTTCCACTGAAATAACCCGGGTCTGACGCAGAGCCACTCGAGACTCTTACCTCGTTATTCTTGCCCGTCCCACAGGGTCTTCTGCCGATCAGTTGAGCAAATAGTAACTTTTTCACCTTTCTTCTTGGAGGCATTCGTAAAACGTACCTGAACTATCGAAGCTGTTATATTTTACTCTGGAGAATCGGCGGCTGTACTTCATGGATGTGTCATATCTGAATTCTGCACCAAGTCGAGACGCATGAGCCCAGTAACCGAATATCCCATTTCTGCATGTTCCAGAGATCGAAGCTTTATATAAATGCCCTCGATTCATCATCAGAGGTGACGATTGGGGATGAAATTCGACTTAAACAAAGCGTAGTCTTCAGACTCAGCTCTGCTGTGGTCTTAACTGGTTGGGCTAGTAGGTGCACAGTGTTGCTGGCCAGTCCAGTTCACTAGTATATCTGTTCCATTTTCCAACACCAGTAAACACAAACCTGAGGTAAATCATTTTCTCTACCCGTTCCACTTTTTTATCTGCATAGCGCAACGTCCAGGAGAATCAGAACCCGTTAGGATTTTGGTTACATGTTCACACGCATGCCAACCACGTTGCACTCAGTCGCGAATTATTTCATAGAGCGCTGGAGATCAGTTTCAGAAGATGCCAACAAAATAAAGTCGTTTCAAACAGCGTCGTCTCGTCTCCGTGTTTCCTGCACCGATGCACTCATCGCCTTGGCTGCTCCTGACTATTCTATCCATGTACATCACAAACAGGAGAGGAGATAGAACGCAGCCTTGGCGGAGACCAGTGCCAACGTTGAAGGGTTTTGACTTAACGCCATTTACTCTGACTCAGCACCTGCTATCAGTTTATAGTCATTGGATGGCGCGTAGCAACTGGCCATCGGTCCCATATGTTCGACTGCACGCCCACAGACTTTTGCGCAACATCCGTTCACAGGCTCTCTCCAGAACAACAAGGAACATGTAAACCGGTTGAGCGAACTCCCGCTATTTCTCAACAATCTGGTGTAAGGCGAAGATCCTGTCAGAGCTGCTTCTGCCTGATCTCAAGTCACACTGCTGTTCTTGTATTTTAAAGTCATATATGACGCGGCACGTCCTTTTTAACGTCTTTGCGTAGAATTCTTGATAGGCTAAATTAAGTAATGCTCCCATAATTAATGCAGTCTGTATGGTCTCTTTTCTTGAGCAGAGACGATCTCTAGTTTACCGGTGTATGTTCTGTAGTAATTGCAGTTTGAGTGACACGTTTTAGCCACAACATACGTAGTTCATCTAAAGCTTTAAATGCGTGAGGGCGGATTTCATTGATTCCAACAGCCTTGCCAGTACACGCTTTTCAGAATTTTTTTTAATTTGACTATTGAAAAGCTAATACATGCTGCTCCTCAGCCAAGTCTTCCTGCGATTGCTTCGGGTTAAGGAGTTGCACATTGTGCTCTCGCCAATCGCCAATATATATATCCTTTTCCCTAGTAAGAAAGCATCAGAACTTGTCCTTAAGAGCTGTTACATAGCCTTTCTTTCGACATCAAAGGCACCGGATGGTCTGTCGGAATACCTTGTCTGGAAATTCATCTCCCGCTCTTAGCCGAGGTTTTCCCAGGAATCAGCTTTCACTTTAGTCAGTGCTTTCGCTGCTG